CAAGTGCCTCAGCCTAGAGAAAGCGAGGCGTGCTCTCGAGATGCGCATCGAAATCTCGTCTCCAACAGCCCAGCCAGCATAATGCAACTTCCCAAGTAGAGAAAGCTCTCCACATCCTCTAGTGTTTCACCACCAAGAGTGAATGCAGGCAGAGGCACCTACCAGTCTTAGAAGAGAGCTTTGCATTTAGATGGCGAAAAATACATACCATACTTTGATGCTTCAATCGCCCAGCAGTTTAGTGCAAGTTGGGCGACGTGTGGATCGTCACCCAGCAAGACGATATTATCAGCATAATTCTAATCAACAACTCAACTACCTGGTTGGAGTCCAACGCCAGCGTCCAACGAATCGCCCAGAGCGTTCTTCAGGTCATCCTCAGTGGTAAGGTTGAATGAGAACGGAGAGATAGGGCATCCTTGTCGAACTCCACTGGAGCCCACGAAGGTAGGCGAAAGCCTGCCATAAGCCCTATCCCTGCCCGAGGTCAGAGTATAGAGAGAGCGCAGTATGCAGACACCATTCCTCAGTAGGCAATGCCACAGTACCGTCCGATCGACAGAATCGAAAGCTGCACGGGTATCCGAGAACACAGCAATCGTTGGCCTCTGATACACATGGCGGAGCTCGAGGATCTGGCGGAGTGTGAAGACTTGATCGATGCAGCCACGACAGGGCGAAACCCAGCTTGTTCTTCTCGTTGCAACGATTCGCGTGTTGGGGATAGCCTGCGAAGTATGATGGACACCAGCAGCTTGCAAACGACGGGGACTAAGCTTATGCCTCTGTAGTTGGAGCAGATTGTGCGCAAGCCCTTGTTGAACATGGGGACGACTATCGCTTCACTCTAAGATGATGGAAATTTCTCTTTCGACCAAACTTTCGAGAACAAAGTGGCGAGTTCTTGAACCAGCTAAGCGCCACCATCGTTAAATAGAGCTGGAGGAAGACCATCAGAGCCGGGGGCTTTATAACACTCCATGTGCCGAAGTTCCTGCTCTAGTTTATGGTAAGAGCCTTGATTTGTGGAATAGACCACTCGAACCCAGCGCGAGCGCCAGAGGTAGCAGATGGAGCTGGGGTCCAACAAAACTGCGAGCCAAAATATTCGGCCAATCGCTCCAACCGTCTTTGAAGATTGGTGATTAAGGTGTCATCCTTTTCGCATATTGTTTCACTTATACCAAATCGAACTCCTTTGGTGACTCGAACGAGATGGAAAAGTTTTCAAGTATTAGTAGAGACTAACAAGCTCCATCTCCCTAGCACGTTCACACCACCAAGCTTCGCGGTCCATTTGCAACCTTCGCAACTCTTGACCAAGTGATTGGCGTTCTTCACTGTGTCTGGAATCCGACGCAATCAAGCGGCGTTTGTTCATCAGCGACAAGGAGACGGCGGAAACCTAGTGCTTCGATGGGTGATGGGCAACTCCACAAGTGTCGATACTGGCGGCAACTAAGACATCTTTGATCTGCGCCCGCTGCGAATCGAGGTCACCGCCAATGGTTGAGTCAAGTAAGGTTGACGTTGAGGCTTGGTACCTGGTTAAAATCGCAGGGTTTTGTAGATTTGCGACGTCCGGTTGGTAGTGAGCGCGCTTTGGTGATCCTCTGAAACACATGCAAATCTTAGCACGAACCAACGCGTTGACCAGTACGATCGGCAGTCCGTTATGCTTCCGCACCATCTGTAGCTGATTGCTATGTGGTCAAACTGGGAGCACTCTTGCCTTTGTGAGGGCGGGCGCCAGGTAGCAGTGTGTCTCCTCGAGTGCCGAAACTAGTACATATATACTATATTTCTCAAGTCTACGAATAGAAATAAGGCCATCCGAAACCATGGGACTCAAAAGAAGGTACAGAAATAGTAAGAGAAAATACAACAAAACACATCAAAGGCCATGGTTTCGTCAGAGGGTGCGATACTACCCGCTTGTCCAATCCGAAGTAGGGTGTTGTCTTAGGGGACTTCATTCCGAGCCTTTGGCTGCATAGCCTGCCCGCAGGGCAGCGGAGCGAATTCAGGGAATCGCGCCCATTAGGAGCCGGTAACTGATTGCTCAGTTCATGCGCGTTACGTTTGTTTCTTTGTCAAACAGGGCCTCAATGCTCCCCAGAATTATAGCATAACTTTGCTGGAATACAATGCTTCGCCAAGATGAAGCAAGGGGCAGTGACTTTATTTACTGGCAAGTCACGTCCGCCACGTCACCGTGTTGTTAAACGGACATATGTGGCTTTTTATAAGGGAAACGCTTGCCAGGCGAAAACCCACCACGTCCTGGAACACTGCCGCCGAACCATTTGGTGGAACGGGAAAATCCGGAACCACCCAACTGACACCACGAGGAGGGTGTTCGCCAAGCCAGCCGCCGAAAACTGGTGCTCGAAAGAAACAAGCGATGATCAAAACAAATAGCAGGCAGTCTGTCTCCATTGTCTGATCGAATGCCACCGAGGCCAGAACTACCCCGAAGGTGGTACTCAATTGGTGCAAGGCGGCCCACCCTTGAGTTTAAGCCCGGCAAAAATGACTTTATCAGTCCTTTTGGATGAACGCAGGTCATGTAGCTGTTGGTAAGAGCTATCCTTGACTGCATCCTGGCTGCAGTCTGTAGGGGCGTAGGCGGAGACGATAAACAAAGCACTCTTAACGTCTCGACGCCTACTTACATTACATGAACCTCGTAGTCTGACTGCACATAGCTGACTGTTGGCTGGGATCCAGTTAAGCAGATCTGATTTAGCCCTGGCACTCGGTACAACCCCAACACCATCTTGGCCAGAGGCGGCAGCTTCTAGGTCTCCGGAAACTCGCAAGTGCTATTTGACGTCAAGATTTACTGGAGAAGCCATTCTGATGACGGCGCTAGAGTCTTGTAATCTGGTCTCTAAAAGGCAACGGATGCCTACCGAAAACATTTCAAGAGTACGCGCCGGACATGCTTGTCCTCCGATCTGCATCGAAGTTCAAACATTAAACACTGCGAGAATGAATGGAGAACCAGATCGAAGAAGAGCTGGAGGTTCGGTGGAGTGAGAGGCGGTTGCGATCACAGGACATTGAAAACCGGCAGTTTGGTTGTTACTTCCATCAGTTGCGAGACGTGGGTCGTTTGTGACAGTGACCGTAGAAAACATAAGAATACATATAGCTGAAGGACGGGAGGTGGGGTGATCTGTGAGTAGTTGAGCCGTTGAGTTAGCGTAAAAGATAGACATAACAGGAGCACTATTAAGCAGTGTGGTCCATGATTCGGCAGTGGACGTGATACTATCCGGTAGGGGGTTGTCTTAGGGGCCCTACCCCGAGCCATTAATCAAAGATCTAACCTACAAGGCAGCAGGGCGATGTGTGAGCGTCGCAACCCGTTGGGAGCCGATGACCAAATAGATGGTTCGTACGTCTTTCAGTCCGTGAAGGACCAGGGTCCCAACACACCCTTGAAGTACAATGCCTCTCAGGGAGGGGCAAGCGGCAGTGACTTTATTTAGTGGCGAGTCACATCCGCCACGTCGCAGTGTTGTTAAACGGACATATGTGGCTTTTTATAGGGAGAACGCTTGCCAGGCGAAAACCCACCACGTCCTGAAACACTGCTGCCAAACCATTTGCTGGAACGTGAAAAACCCGAACCACCGAACTGGCACCACCAGGAGGTTGTTCGGCAAAGTCATATACCTAAACGCTTCTCACAAGGCTTCCGCAAACAACCCTTGTCCGTTGCTGAAACTATTTGCATCCACCGTCTGAAGCTGGAATGGGATGTGCACAAGTGATTTGTAAGACTGTTGCTACTACCGTGGCCAACAAACTGTAGTACTCAATTGTCTGGTTGTTACCTGTGCTTTTTACATCGGATTACTGAGGTATGGCGTATTGATATTCCTTTTGTTCACTCGGCCCACCATCTAAAATTCAGTCTTATTTTATCTATTTAACTGTCCATACAGTCCAGTCCGATTTGAAGCTTACCACACATAACCAGTGCTATGTAAACTTTTTGATCTGATGGGAGCTTATCTGAAAAGATTTCTTAACACTGCGATCACTTCTGCTCTTGAATTTTGTCGATGAAATGGGACTGTTTGCTTTGCTGAAGCTCAGCGTTGCCCGTAATTCGCTCAGCGACATTTTTGCTTGGACCTCTTCGTCACCTTTTTCTTATGATCATTGCGTTAAATGGTTTCCGCCTGCTTGGATTTTTCCTCGGAAGGTAACATTTCCACAGTGATGAAATTATACAGGCTGCCCTAGATTAGTTCAAATTTACCGATCAAGTTTTCTTAAGTTTAATCCTTCCAAGCATTAATGCACCGCCAGGATAAGTGCATAATTGTTGCAGGGAAATATGTTACGAAATAAATGTGACTGTCACTTCCCGTAATTAGGATACTTTTGCTCCTTTGCAAGATATTTCGGATGGACTCTAGCTTCCTTACATTACATTGTCCCGACTAGCCATCGTTCCTCACATTAATCAACAATTTCTCATCCTGACATTCTTACAACCTCTGCCTCCATTTCGAACCAGTAGTCCGATTAATTTCGCCACTATTTGTGTCCACGTATACTCCTCAATCACGTTTTCAGTGTACCTGTTTTATCTTACGAACACTCGTACGGAGTAGTTGCTTTTTTCCGTTTTTTGTCAACTTAACTTAGTCGCTGTCTGCCCTTTTTCCTGGGTCTGAACCATATGCATGAAGCAGCTAGTTGCTCCTATTCTTCCACCCCATGTATTTTACTCGTTTCCACTAGTCCGAACCTTTCATCATCCAACATTCCCGCCTCTGGCAGTCACTTGCGTTCCGGTCGCATGTGAAACATTGGCTTTCATCAATTTTCAGCGTGTTCTACTTGCGGGAGTGCTCATATATCCTGTGGTTATTTTGCACGTTTTGGTGCTATTTCAGGTTCTCTTTTTCCTTTGCCACGCTTAAGATTACGCACACTTGAACTAACCCATCGATGGATTTGAACTTCTCTCCCCTCAGGTGATGAGAGTCTGAGTGTGACTCATTATCCAAACTGCCCCCAACCACTGCGTATTCTCTGTGATGACAGGGAAAAAGATGTTTACCAACGACCACTTCTAACCGCTAGTCATGCTGACTCTTCGTCTTTCCCACTTGAAAACCGCCCGGGTTTCCCACTACTCAATTCCTCTCCTGTTTCGCCGTTCAGCCGACAGATTCTGTCGCGTTCCCCGCGCTTTTGTTCTGCCGGTCCGGAACAGCTTTCATTCAGTCTATCTCCACGAAGCGCCCTTTACAGCTCATCCCCTATGCGTTCTAAACACAATTCCTCTTGTTCCATGAACACAGACGGGAGTGTTATGACCCCGCAACCCTTCATCCACATGAGTTCAGTCAGTTCCTCACCTCGGTTTCATCAGCGATCTCCTAGTCACCTACCGTGGCCGCATATTCAGGCGAGTATAACCGATGCACGGCGAATGGAACTCGCTCCAATTATCCCCAACCTCTCTCCCAATCGCTACTTATTCGGGAACACAACACGATTGACTGCATCTATAGCCGAAATTCCGGTGGATTCAACGCACATGGATTCCACAGTGCACCATGCTGCGCGTGGCTCTCAACCGTTGGGTGCCAACGTTCCCAAAGAATCTTTGGCCCATATCAGACCCCGCGGCGCACAATCCGTCTCCAATCCGACGATTCGCTTCTGTGAGGTGTGCGGAGACAAGTCGAGTGGAGCACACTACGGTGTATACACCTGTGAGGGTTGCAAGGTAAGTACATGCTTTGTTATTCTTATCTACTCTACTGTTTGATGACTTCGGGATGAATCATCATGGTGACTCTACGGTTAACCGGTATATTTGATCTTTGCGTGGTCTTTCAGTTCCCTATATCGTGCATGCTCTACCGGTGGTTTTGAATTCCGATACTGAGCACACAACATCTGCTTCACTGTTCTTTGGGTTCTCCAGCTTATGCTTCACTTCCGGGCCCTCTGCATTTGCGGCTGGATCTTCTCATATACATCTTTTTTCGCCCTCGAACTGGACTCAACTTTGTTTCATCACACCTACCGCCTCCGTCTCACTCACATGTTATCTTTACGAATGGGGCATCCGCATGACTCGCACAGTTTGAGGCATCTTAAACATTTAACCAAACGGCGACTGAGTGTGCCATCGATGTCTGCTGAATTACGATAACGTCACTTCCAACCTTCCCCTGCGACTACCAGCGTCAATCCTGCTTCAATGAAATCGGATAGACTCCTTTTACGACTCCCAATTTTGAGTCTTGTGGGCTGTTGCATTCTCACTGGTTTAGGGCAAAAAGCTTTGGTAAACACCCCATTTTCTCTCTTGTCTGAATTCGGGTGACTGAGTAACACTTAACAAACAACTATTGCCTCAGACTTTCACTGCATCGACTTTCGCTTAATTTCAACATGGTCATTTTCTCTGCTGCATATGGCGGAGGTGGATAAGCGAAAACGAACTTCTACTGACATTTCACTTCCTTCGTTTTCACTCAGTTCTATCGCACCCCTTCTGTGTGCACTGCAATCTTTCCTAAAGACCTCGATGAGCGTGACAACACATTTTGCCATCGAAACTTCTTATCAGGTCACGCTATCTGAACTGCCTAACATTTTCTTGCATTCTCCAACTGATGGCTACTGATACCACATATATGCGGAGACTGGACACCATTGGTGTTGACTTGTCGCTTTCTTGAATCGTCCACCTCGGTGTTTGGATAGTATGTTGAATCCGGCACATTCTCATTATCATCGATGTTCTTATATCCGTTCTTCACCTTTGACTCTTAACTATCTGATCTCATGCATTCCCCCCTCATTCCTCCTGAATAACCACCATCCCTATTAATAATATGGTTAGTTTGGTGACGGGAATCAAGATAACCGAATCCGCCACATCTGGCCGCACGAATTATGGTTACTAAGCTGCACTGGATTTCGGTGTTGGCGCGTACCGCATCTGTGAATCTAGCATCCGCCATTCCCAAGCAGTTCTCGAACCAGCTGCATCCAGCTTGCCTTCCCGCCATGGCTCGCGAAGTCCGGGATGCGTTTGCATCAGTCACAGGTCACGATAGATTGAAGTTCCTCTTCGACTCCTCGGACAAATCCCGATAGTCGGCTGGCTTCCTGTGAGCAGTTCTTCCGACAACCTAGATCTAGACTAGTTCGTGACTGCCACCTGTGCTTCAACCAACTGCAGTTCTAATGCTGCCGAACTTGTCTTCTATCATGAACTTCACATGTCACTTCACACTGCTACTTGCTCAGATATAATTTCGGTTACGGGGAGTGCGAACATACAAGCTGGCCGTCTAAACCCCTCAGAAACTGGTAATTGTAGAGTTTTGGGCTCAGCTGCAAGCGCATGGAATATGTCAAGTGGTTCTTACAATTGTGCACCGAGGATCATATTTGGTAGCATCTCCGCCTACAAGTACGACGGGCGCGCGCTTGCCACTTGGTGTCACCTACTAATTGGTCAGCGAAGAATCTAAATACTCTACTACATAGTCTTCCGGCGATGTGGTCCTGTATTTGGCTCAGGGGTTTTGGAGCACTGCCAATCTCACTCATGTCCTGGTATACCACCGATTTTCCTTTAAGTGAGATAAACGACTCGCTCGCTCGATGACTGTGGCTTAACAATGCCACCACCTTATTTTGCTGAGGTCATCCAGTTTTACGCGAATGGGATCTCTGCTCTCCTATATGATACAGACGCTTCTGTTATGTTACTGTCATTCATCAGCGCACCTGATACCGGATATCCGAGAGGTCGATGAACCTGTCAGAATCCAGAAGAATTCCCGCTGTTTGCGAAAACAGTGCAAACAACGGATTATCAGCTTTGAGTTAAACAGGTCTTACAAGGTAACAATGAGTTTTGTTGGTCTCAGGCAGTTCAGGAAGTGAAGTGCTTGGATGTCAAGTTGTTTTTCAGATAAGTGTCCTAGTTCGTTCCACTGGTCCCAGGAAGTCATCTATCAGTGAGACAACCAGTGACAGCACCTATGTTCTAATTTACCAAAACCTGCCTTTTGGTTGGATGGGCAAGGTACTTTCAACAATAATCCAGCTAGTTCTTCTCTTTTGAGCCGCTTCCTGCTCATGCGATACAAGTTGAATCCTGGTCAGTTAGCTTAAAGATCATCTTAAACTTGCGTCATGTTTAAGCCTGTACAACCTGACAATATTCTGCTCACTCAATGCGATTAACTTTTCAAACAGTTTATTGCTGTAAAACAGTAGGCCCACTTCAACCATTTCGTCAAGACAGAGAGATGATATAGATTGCGATTTGTCGGTATTTTGATTGCTCTGTTCAGTCACAAACACAATACGAGCAGCAACGCACAAACGATTATATGCATGAGTAAACAGGCGACGCCAATCAAGATTTCACAATCAGGACCAAGGCAACCGAATTGATTGCCTCAAGAGTGTCTGTGCACATAGCGCAGGTTGACAGGCCTTAATTAACAACGCCTCACTAATTGCCAACATGATCGGGTTTTTGTTACACAATGACACTTTGAACGCGGTCTCAGGGTTCACGTGATGATGAGTTGCCATGAGGTGCTTGGTGCTAGACGATGCTGGGCTTCGATGAATCCTCAGATCCATCCCGTCTTGTTGCGTCATCACTTGTCCCAACCACTTTGTCAAATGTCCAGCTATCCTCTGAGCTAACTGGCGGTTAGTTCTGCCTATGTAAATGTTACCGCAACTGAAAGTGAACTGATAAACAACGTGAGAAGCCGAACTACTCATTAGGAGGCGAGCTGAAGGTACATTGCAGCGCACTGTCCAACGCAAATCGACTTTACGCGGACAGTGCCTTCATTTTTCAAGCTTCGCCCCGGTCGCATACAATCGCGGCTTTGTGAAAACATTTCTACCAAGCTAGACGTATCTGCAGCCCCGAAACGTTAAAAGCTGAAGAACTCCTACGCAAGACCTTACTTTCTATTAGGTGTGATGGGAGTATACACTCGAACGAACGTGCGGTGCCAGCCCAGCAATGAAGCCGTTAGGCTGCCGCAAGCAAGGGCGGCAGCCGATTGGACATTCACACGTTTCTCGCATGCACGCTGATTGGCAAACAGCTGGACGCATTGGAGTGAGTTTGTTTGACTGAATCAAAGGAGAAATGTCATGCACCAACAAAGGTCGTTAGTTATGGATCCAACTAGCTGTATATACCGATATGTTTCACTCGCCCTCTGTCTCCGTTTTCGCCTGGTCCTGTTGTTTGCAGAATATACATTTTGTCCCTGAAGGACCGACTTTTTACATGGTGTCAGAGAAGAAGAACATTAGTACCACCCAGACGATGATTGGAGCTGCACCGGCTATTCAAATGCCCGCCCCGCTGAACATGGATGAACGCAGTTTGGCAAGCAACTGACGTTTGTGGAAGAGCAAATGGATGGATTTCTGCACTTTATCGCGTCTGGACAAACAACCGATGGCGTACCGCTTGGCCATGTTTCGACACGCAGCAGGACATGATGCGCGCCGCGTGCTAGAGACATTGTGTTACGACAAGAGCGAAGATGCCAACAATCTGGAGACAGTTCTTGAGAAGTTCAGTGAATACTGCGAAGGCCAAACAAACGAGACATTTTAACGCTACCTCTTCTTTTCGCGGAACAGGCGGCCAGGTGAATCCGTTGACACGTACGTCACTGAGCTAAAGATTTTGGCCCGATCCTGCAGTTTCTGTAAATGCATGGCGGACAGTCTCATACGGGACCGCATTGTTCTTGGGATCAATGACGAAGGTTTGACGAAGCGACTATTACGAAAGCGCAACCTATCTCTGCAGCAATGTATCGACATCTGTAACAGTGAGTCCTCCACTGCCTATCAGTTCCAGCAGATGACAATCACAGGTGATTCAGAGTTGTGCGCCGTTTCCAGGAGCAAAACTACGAAGGCCACGACCGCGCGACAGGAGCCCTGCAACTTCTGTGCAACACGACATCCGAGGAACCGCGAACAGTGTCCGGCGTGGGGCCGCATTTGTGTCAAATGTGGGAAGCGCAATCACTTCGCCCGCTGCTGTCAGTCGACCGATGTCAGTGCACTCGTTCCAGACAAATCAACAGAAGACACCGAACAATCGATTGGTAACGTGTCTCGGAAAGCGTCGCAGAAGTGTGTCTATGCAAGTCTTCTGATCGAGGGACGGTCTGTGCGATTCCAGTTAGACACAGGCGCGACGATCAATATTTTGCCCAGAAAGCACTGCCGCGGCGTGCAAATTCAATCGGATCAAGATTATTTACGCATGTGGAATGGTTCCAGACTCAAGCCAAAGGGCTCGGCGACAATTGAAGTGGTCAATCCGAGAGACGGTGTTTCGCATCGTCTGCAGTTCGTGATCGTGGATGAGGATCTCACGCCGATTTTCGGCATTGATTCGATTTTATCTCTTGGCTTTGTCATTTTTAATCATGATCGTTTTGTGTACGCTTGTCAGAGTGAAGCCGATGTTAGTGACCTGTATCCGTCTGTGTTTAGCCCGGGTTTAGGGGAATTCGAGGGTACCGCTCACCTGTCGTTAGATCCTTTGGCACGCCCGATTGCGTTACCTGCTAGGAGAGTCCCATTTGCGCTACGTGACCGATTTTCCGCGGCATTGAACAAGCTGGTTATGCAGGGGGTGATTGCAAAGGTTGATGAGCCAACAGACTGGGTTAGCCAGGTCGCAATCATTACGAAGAA